TTTCGGACAAGATCCATGTGTTGTGATTTTGGGGTCCTAGCACCCCTTAGCATCTAAACTTCAACAAACCCACGCAACGAAGGAGCAGAAGCTCAGTTGGAATTTCTAAAGAATGGGACTGTGAGACAAGTTGGTGAGTTTCTGAGATTTTCTGAGCCAACCTAGTACAGTATTATAGGAGGGAGCCTTTGGCTACTGTGCTTCCCACCTATGGGTATGGTGGCATAGGGCATTCTGTTATTATCTCATAGAGATTGAGCTTGTGGGAAAGAAATAGTCTAGATCTAAGGCCTAGCAGGGTTAAAGGGAGGGCTTTGGACCATGGGATACTTAGCTCCTTAAAGAATTTTTTTTTCAGGCAATTGAGGTTAAGTGACTTGCCCAGGGTCACACAGCTAGTAAGTATCAAATGTTTAGTCTGAAGCCAAATTTGAACTCAGGTCCTCCTGCCTTCAGGGCCGGTGCTCTATCTACTGCGCCGCGTAGCTGCCCCGCTCCTTAGAGAATTTAGCATGAGAGGTTTTAAATATCCCATTAACTCTTTCAACCGTTTCTGATGGTTAGTAGTGGTAGGCACAATGGAGATGCTGAGTGATAATCCAGAATGAAGGCAACTTAGCTAATGAAGCTCCTATAAAATGAGTGTTTCTATTGCTATATATCTCTTTAGGAACCCCTCCATGATGGAATACTTTTTTTCTAGGAGGATTTTTGCTACCCCAGAGGCTGTGGCAGTATGACAAGGGAACACTCCCACCCACTGAGAGAACATACAGACCATAACCAAAGCATATTTGTAACCACAGGCAGGCGGCAATTGAACGAAGTCGGTCTGCCATATTTCAAAGGGTGAATCTAGGAGGGGAAACTGCCTATGATCTGGCTTCAGAGGCTTGAATACATTGTGCTTGGGGCAGGTAGAACACATTTAACAGGCAGTGGTGATGGCCCGGTAAAAGCACCCCCATCAATATTTTCAGGCAAGCTTTACTAGATTGTCGAATCCCTAATGGCCAAATGAATGAAGGTGCTCATCATAGGGAGGGATAAATTCATAGGGAGTACTACAAGTCCATTCGGGCCAATCCATAGTCCCATAGTCTTATGAAGTCTACATCCCTCCTTTTGAAGTTTCTCCTGCTTTGTAATAAGCATCCTTTTCTGGGCTGTAGCTGTTTCTTTTTTTGTTAGGCTAAGAGGCTTAGGTAGGCCTTTTGGTCAAGACAAGAATGCTAATAAGGCTGTGCTTATAGGGCAGAGTGATAGTTCCACAGGGACCTGTGCTATGAGAGCCATGCTTTCAGGAATTAGAGGAGTTAAAACTGTGGTTTTAGCTGCTTGGTCAGCTAAGTTGTTTCCACGCTCACGTATGCTGTTTTCTCGACTGTGTCCTGGAATTTTAATTACCACTATTGCTTGGGGAAAGCAATAAGCAATCTAATAGATGGGAAACCTGTTTCTGATTCTGGATGGGCTGTCCTGAGGAGGTAAGGAAGCATTCCAGAGTCATGTGCCACCCCAAATGCATACTGGCTATTAGTATAGATGTTAATCCTTTTCCCCTTTCCTTTTTCCCAGCCCTGGGTACTGCCTCCAGTTTGGCTTATTGTGCCCAATGGGCATCAGGTAGTAATGAAGATTCAACCACTTCTATGGCAGTGGTGGTGCCATAACTGGCAACCAAGTCTCCCTCCTCATTCCTGAGGCAGGATCCATCAGTGTACCAGTCAAAGTCCTATTTCTCTAAGAGGGTTTCCTTCAGGTCCTCTTGAGGGGAGGCAAGACATCCAGATAAATTACACAGTCATGGTCTAGCAGGGGTGTGGAATCCATGGGCTCGAAGCCACATGTGGTCCTCTAGGTCCTCAAGTGCAGCCCTTTGAATCCAAACTTCACAGAACAAATCTCTTAATAAACTTGGACTCATCAAAAGGCCACATGGGGCCTCGAGGCCATAGATTCTCAACCTTACTTTCCACCTTCAGTGGATGGGTGGCAGAATTGAGCATGTTTACATTTGATGGTCAGGTTAGATTTGGACAACAGTCACTTCAAGGTTGGCTGGTAGGCTAGAGGACAAATGCTGGGTAGAGTGTGAATTAAGGAGTATTTCAATGGCATGGGGTAAATGTATCGTTAAGGAAAAACCAAGACAAATGTCCTCAGTCGTAGAAACAGCAGTGGTCACTACTGCACAGAGACACTCTGGGAGGCCCTTAATGACATTGTCCAAAGTTTTATTATAATATCCCACAGGGCTAAAATTTTCACCATGTTTTTGTGTTAATATGCCCCAACTGCATTCCCTCCTTTCTCAGAGGTGAATAAACCAAATGGGAAAGAATAGTTGGGGAGGCCTAAAGTTGGTGACTGTTGGAAGATCTAATTCCGAGAATCAAAGGAGTTTTGAGCATCAGAGGAGAAAGCCATGGGCTCAGGTATAAAATCCGTTAGAAGGTCATAAAGGGGGCAGACTGTACATGAAAAGTCAGGGATCCAGAGACAGCAATAGCCTGCCAGACCAAAGGAGGAACAGAGTTGACGCTTGATGTGGGGTACAGGGAACTGAGTGATAGCCTTAAGGTGGGACAAGTGGAGAGAAAAGCCGGAGGCAGAGAGGTGATGTCCCAGGAATCTCACAGAGGGGAGAGCAAACTGGAGTTTGTCCCAAGATACCTTCTGGCCCTTTGCTGCTAAACCATTAAGGAGGTATACAGAGTCCTGAACAGAAACATCTTGGGAGGGGGAGCAAAGGAAGTCATCAACATACTAAAGGAGGACAGAATCTTTAAACATCAAGTGAGGACAGGTCCTGTTTAATATCTCTTAGAAATAGGACGAGATTCAGTGAATCCCTAAGGAAGGACAGGTATATTGACACCCCTCCCAGGTCAAAGCAAAAATGAATTGGCTTTCAGGGGCAACCTGGATTGAGAAGAAGGCACTACAGAAGTCAACCATCCAAGAAGTGAGTGGTCCAGGGTGGTACAAGGTTAGGCAGAATGTGGGAGTTTGGGAAGACAGGTGGTAGGGGTATTACAACAGCGTTAACTGCTCAGAGATCATGGACAAGTCACTAGCCCCATCTACCAAGAACTGTGCTAAGTGCTGAAAATACAAATACAAGCAAGCAAGACAACCCTTGCCTTCAAAGAGCTTATATTCTAATGGGGGAAGATAACATTTAAAGGGGAGATGGAAGTGGGGAGGGGGCATGGTATGAATCAGATGGTGACCAGAAGAGATGAGGTGATGGTGGAGAACTGGTTCTGGGCAAGATAAAGCAAAGCTCATCTCTCACAGCCTCTGAGGCCCTGCCAGATCAAATAGTTTGCACAGGTCACACAATTAGTAAATAGGAATTCTACTCAAGAAATTCCATTTTATTTCATACAGAATCACCATATCAATACCAAGGAATTTGCTTTACACTCCAAGGATGGCCCAGTTATGGGAATCTTCCACTATTTCTAGGATAATGAAAATTATCTCCCTCTCCTCTCAACTAAGGTTATCTTTTTTTTTCCTCAGTATTTTTTCTTCACAACCATTTTTTAAGATCCTTCTATGTGCTATGTTTGGCATTGGTGATACAAAGACAAAAGAGGAAATAGTCACTGCTCTCAAGGAGCTTATATTCTATATTGAGATCTATACACATAATTTTATTGGTTTTTTATGCACAGAATATGTTAATAAGTAAATGCTGTGGAAGGAGAATGCAGTAGCAGCTGGAGAGATCTAGCAAAGCTTTCATGTAGGTAAGGATGTAAAAGATTAAAAGAGATGGAGAAAAGGAGTAGGGAATTGGGTTCCACGTTCCTTAGCTAATGCAAAGGCAAGGAGATGAGAAGTTCAGGATAATGTGTGAGCAACAACAAGAAGGCTGGCTACACTGTAGTGTGGGAAGAAGAATAATGTATAATAAGACTGAAAAGGTTGGGGCTAGGTTACAAAGGACTTTAGAAGCCTAGTATGGTTTATATTTTATCCTAGAAGAAACAGGAGGCCACTGTAGTTTATTGAATAAGGGAATGATTTGGTGGGACTTGTACTTAAGGAAAATCACTTTGAAAGCAGTTTCTCACTGATTAGAGTAGAAACTTGTTTTATAAAATAAGCTAAGTATGTGTAGTGAAAAGAACAGTGAAGCTGGGTTCAGAGGACCTAGGTTCAACTGTAGCTACCTAACTCTTTGACCTTCTACGAGTCACAATTTCTGAACTCATTTACAGATATAAAAGTTACTGCGTACCTTGCACATCTGAATTAAGTGATTACTAAATGTCTCTGCATTGTGTCTCTTTAGAGTTATGTCACATACACAAAAGTTTATGTGTGAGCTTTATCCATTCACAAGAGAATGATTCGGGTTCAAATGTAGTAGAGCTTAGCAACAGAAAGAACCGTTCTAGAGGCAGGTCACAACAGGAAGATTGATTGACCTAGAAGCAGAAGGATGAAGAGAAGGATGGGGGGAGGGGAAGAGGAGGGTGATGGAGGGAGGGAGATGGAAGAAGGGAGGAGGAAGGTCGAGAGAAAAGCGAGTCTGACTCAGGTAACCGCCCGTGGGTGGAACCTACACAGTCAGAAAAGAAAGCTGATCTCTGGGATAAGAGGTATTTATCTCACCAAGCAGAGTGCAGAAGTTCAGACTCCTCAGTACCAGTCCACTTGAACAAATGAGGAAACTGAGGCAGAGAGCGGACTACACCTAAACTTTCATACCTGTAGAAGCACTCACCGGGGTGGGAGCTGCAAGAGATTAAGACCCATCTGTTTTAGGAGACCCCAGAAAAGTTAGCCCAATTATGCTTAAAATAAGAGACCAAAGGAGAGGAGGATCCAATTACTGGCCGCCAGTGCGGCTCCCCGTGCCGGTTCCCCAGCCCGGAGGCGGTGCGGGTAGCTTCGCTCCTTCTCCCGCCCCTTTCCCCCTCCCCCCGCCCCTGGAGGCGGATCGCCCCTCCCCCTCCCCCGCCCTTCCTCTGGGTGCGTGAGCGTACACAGCCTGCACAGCGGGAGCCCGAGAGCCGGAGAGCAGGAGCCCGAGCCGCAAGAGCAGCAATAGCAGCAGCGGCAGCGGCAGGGGCAGCACGGGCAGTGCAGGCGCAGACAGAGCCCCCAGCATACGGACCTTGCTGTCCGGCCGCCGCCGGAGCAGGGACCCTTCGCTAGCTCGGCGCCCGGGCTGAGGAGGAGGACGAGAAGGCAGCTGCTGCTTGCAGGCGGCCCGCAGCGAGTGCCACCCCCCACCCCGCGAGGGCAGCGAGAGGCCGCGCCATGGTGAAGGTGGCATTTAACTCGGCTCTGGCCCAGAAGGAGGCCAAGAAGGAGGAGCCCAAGAGCGGCGAGGAGGCGCTCATCATCCCTCCGGACGCTGTCAGTGTGGACTGCAAGGTCCGGGTGCGGGGCAGGGCTGGGGAGGGATGGGGGGGAAGGGGAGGTGGATCAGGAGAGGGAGAAGGGTCGCTGCGGGGGGTGGGGTGCCCCGAGGGCATCCTGGGGAGTGCCACCGAGATGGGGACGGGGCGATTTAGATCAAGTTGCGAGGATCGTAGTCCGCCTGGGATCCCTGGATGAAGAGGGGGTGAAAAAGGGAAGCCACTATGAGCTACTTTCTAAGGGAACCTGAAGCTTCCCCGCCTTCTTCAGTTGCCCCCTTTCTCCAGCCAGGGCAGCCTCCTTTGTAAGGAAGCGCGAGTGCTGGAGGGGGGAATGGCGAGCTCATTACTTTGCACGGGCAGCGCGGGGACGGATAGGAGACGAGCGGGATTGAAAGCTCTGTGCCCGGTTCGCTGTCATTGGTGCAGTCGGGGCGGGGGGAGGAGGGCGGGGGCTGCAGCCGCCGTCGCGGCTGCTGCGTGCACTGAGGGGCTTCACCCCGGACCTCTGGCGGTAACGTGCAAAACAAAAACACACGCCCCACCACCACGTCCCCCCAACCGAGTTTGTCACTTCCTCCCCCTTTATAAATAAATCCTAAAATGGCTGACATCAGAACGAGCTAAAACCTCGGGTTCTTTTCTACTTTCGTTTTGGAGCCGAACAGTACTTGGACTGAGTCCAGCAAGCTGTAAGCCTCTTATTTAAAAGCATTTTCTTCCTCACCCTCCTTTCTTCCCCCACCCCGGGCCATCCTTATTGGCCGCTGAACTTAACTGAGGGGGAGAAGGCTGGCGGGCAAGTTGGCTGGAGTGAGGAGCTACTTGTTAGTTTTATAATTAAAACAATATTCCTATCAAAGGTCAGCAATTGTTATGAGGCTGTTGTTGGAAACTGGCCATAGAATTTTTTCCCCAAAAAATATTTAGAAGCCTGTGAATAACACTCAACACTAGATAAACAAAAAATTTTGCAACTCCTCCCCCTTCATCTCCAATTTTTGTTTTTGCATAGAGGATTGCGTGGTTAATAATTCTGCTTTAAAATTAATTTAGAGCTGTTATCTGGGACTCTTGTTTCCATTGAATAATTATTTTTACCCACTAAAGCTGTTTAGGAAGCATTTGTTTTGTAGGACTCCCCACAGAAGTTAAAATAACACGAGGAGGAATGCAATAACCTTTTGCCGGAGTTTCTTTTATTTTTGTAGCTTAATAGAAGAAACTACAGCAAAAGGTTATTGCATTTCTCCTTGTGTTATTTTAACTTGTGTGACAAGTATATTTTTGCAACTTGACACACTTTGTTTAGATTATTTCTGCCAACTTTTTAAAAGAAACTCGCCCTTGAATACTTTTCCTTTTCAATTAGATAATATGCCTTCTAATTATTTAAAAGATTCAAATACTGTTCTGACTTAAAAGGGAAACCTAATTATTGTGTGCCACTTACCACTGCTGCTTGGTTGTTTTTCAAGGTTTTGTCCAGTTCTAACAATAAAAATTTAAATGGGACTATGGGTTCTTGCCGGTTCCTTAGAAGTATTGGAATAACTGGATGACGCCTTGCCCAGAATATTGTAGAGGGGATTTTTGTATTGACAGAATAGGTGGAATTCTAAGGCCCCTTCCAATTCCAAGATTCCTTGTTTACCAAATTATTAACAACTTCGAGACACATAACATTAATTTCGCCTTACTTGTGCTTTTTTTGTATATGTGTGGAATTCTAAGAGATTAGAAACAAAAACAAAAAAACCCTAGCTTCAAAAGTTAATTTTGATATGGACTGTCTTACTTTGAAATGGAAACAGTGAGCCGACTCCCTAAAGTGGATTAAAAGGTTGCTCTGTGCGAGTTGCTTTCCTGAATCCTCTGCAAAGTCCTAAAATAACGTACTTGCGATAGATCTAATATATTGTCATTCCAGTAGTAGATTATCAGAACATTTGTTTTTATCTAACATTCATGTGCCCCCCACCCTCACCAAAGTGCTAAGTATTAGACCAAGGTTGTATACAGTATAGCGAGAAAACTAAAAGCTAAAAGTAGAAACAACTATCCTCACAAAAACTATCTATAACTGACTCCTCTTCTTAAAAAAAAAGAAAGAAAGAAAAATCCAGAGAAAGAAATTGGGTGACATCATTTTTTGTTGAAATCTTACTTGTCTTTGGGCCTGGATCCTCTAGGGGATCTGAAAATCTTTGGACTAAAATCAGATTTTTGTTGGCTGGAAAGCCTTAAAATCAGCCTCTGATAATTTTCTCATAATTTCTGAAACAGTGAGCCTGCAGGGAAAGCTTCAGTTATCCTTCAGATTTGACATTGTAGGCACCTATAAAAAGTAACAATACATAACTCTGTGGCTTTCTAACTCTTTTTCTGTTTTCTGAAAGGAACACATTAAACAAAAATACCAGGACTGAGCAATAAAGGCCAAAGTCCTGCTTTGTAGCTAAGGCAGTAATCAGTGAATTGGCAGATACAGATGACTAACTCCTTTTGCAGCTCCTAACTGAAAGGGCCCTTTTCTTCAGTTTGTGACAAAATATTGTCTGCCTTAAGAGAGGAATCTTTCTAATCAGTCATTTACATGTAAATTAAAACCTTATTTCGGGGTAAATTTTTGTGAAAGAACTTCTGAACCTTGAAAGCTTGGACAATCACTGCAAAATCAATATTTCCTTGAAGAGTTTTCTGGTTCCATGATAATGACTGTATCCAAACCATTCTGTATGTTTCTGCAGCTGGTTTCTCAAGATAAAAACAATCATTCTGTTATATGTTTGGTCTTCCTTTAACCCTCTTGAGTAGATTAGATTGGATAATATGGGTCCTAAACCACTTATAAACAAGTGACCACAGTACCCTTTACTCCAGCAGAATGACCACTCTCCATGCACTGGTGAATACTTTCTCATCTTCTCTGCTTTGCAAACCCAGCCCCCAATCTCCTCTCCCTCACACCCCCCAGCCCCTTGCTGTTTTCCCCACAGGCTATCTCCTTCAGGTTGGAGGCTTAAGAGTTGTTTTGTTTTCCATTGCCTATTGTTAAATCATCTTGTCCCATATTAATCCTGATTTGCTGCCTCCATTGATTATTGTGAATAATTCTGTCTTTACTTCTTGTCTTATACTCTCTCTCTCTTTTCTGTTGGCCAAGCCCTTAGAAAGAGAAGGGGAGGAATAGCAGTCAATAGATAATTAGAAGATGTAGAGGGTATCTTGAGCTCTTTAAACTGAATGAATACATATCCCCTCAAATTGGAAACTTTTCCTCTATGTTAGGTTGCAGACTGCTTTTCATTTAGCTCTGGAAAATAGGTGTGCTGCGCATTTGTAAATACCGAAGGAAATATGCCGACTCTAGCACTATATTATATAATTATATTTGGCCGACTTCGTGTGGTGGTTGTTGTTGTTGTTGTTGTAAAACCAACAAATACTTCCTCAATCCAATCAGACTTTAATTTACTTCCTGCACTGTTAAGTTTAGTTCCCAAGAAAAATGGACTTGAGAAAGAGGTGTTTGCCCACTATGACCCTGGACAAAGTCCTTTCACATTTAGTAGCTTCATTTTCTTCCTCTGTAAAATGTGACAGGATTGCAGTGCCTCTCTTGAGATTCCTTCTAAAACCTGTGTGAAGAATGGCCTCTGTAGTTTAGCAATTGGCAGACTTTTTCTGTCTCTTCTTCCCTCAAGGACTCTCGTGAAATCCTATGTCTCCCATTACTCAAGTTTATTTTGTGATTTATACTCTCAATTTTTTTTCTAGTAAGACAGCTAGGTGACTTAGTAGATAGAGTGCTAGCTAGCTTGACTTGGAATCGGGAAGACTTTTAGTTCAGATGTCACTGTGTAACCCTGGGCAAGCCAATTAACTGCTGTCTGCCTCAGTTTCCTCATCTGTGAAATGGGGCTAATAGGAGCACCTGCTTCCCAGAGTTGTTGTGAGGTTCAGACACGAAAATATTTGTGAAGCTCTTTGAAAACTTTACAGCACTCTATACAAACTAGTTATATTATTATTAGCAATTGGGGGAGGTTGGGAGAAACTTCAGGGGCTTAGGAATGGTGCAGATTGAATTGAAAGAGGGTAACTTCTGCTTTGGTCTTCTCCGAGTTGTGTCCTCAATATTGCCTTAACACATACCTTTTTTTTCTTGACCAGACACCAACAAATATGTTTTTGTTGACAGTGTTTCTGATCAGCAGATGGAGGGTTGTAGGGAAATTCCACACTGCCACTTTACATGGCCAGAAGTATTCTCTGAGGCCATTTCACAGCTAGAGTTTGCACCCTTAGTTGAGCTTCTCAGAGTTAATGATTATTCACTTGTTCTATCCATTCTATCCTAGGGCTTCAAACTGGGGGGGGGGAGTGGCATAGAAACTCTTCTTTTAAGGGTCATGAATGGAGGTTGTTTAATTTAAAGGATTATTTAATATTAAATTAGTGTACAAGGAAATTTTCAAACTTAGTGGGGTTTTTTTTTGGTAAAGAAAACATCTTAAGGTTTATGAAGTGAAGTTATTTAAAGGGTTATTTAATATTAAATTGATGTACACAGAAATTTATTTTTTTTTCTTCTGAGACAGTTTTATTATTTTTGGTACTTATCTCTGCCTCTTGGAACCCATATCTCCTTTTAAGGCTCAGTTCATGTACCATCCATATAAGCTCTTTTCTTCTCACCGTCTCAGTTAAAGTTCTATTCCTCATATCCAGTCTCCCACCCCATTACTTTGTATTGAGGATCTTAGAATCATAGATTTTTGAGTTTATAGGGACCTCAGAAGATCATCTAGCCCCCAACTATTTCACTTTATAGATGTGGGTGCTGAAACCTATGCTTATCTTGTATTTATTGTTCCTCCTAATAGACTGTCAGCTGCTCCAAGACATGGCCATTTAAATTTTTTTCCATTTAATATCTCCAGATCCTAGGGGATAACTTCATTGGACTTTATTCAGAGTAGGTGTTTAAAAAATGCATGTTGAATTGAGTAC